AACGGTATACTTTTGACTATAGCCATATAGTCGGGATAATACCATCAAAAAAGAATACTCGATCATGTTTGTACTTCACCCGAAAAAACAAAAAAGAAGTGTAAATGTTTTGAGTAAGGGCATGTTCCCCCTGCCCCCATAGCACTAAAGTAGATCCCCTCATGACTAGAAGTCTAGAATTAAAAATTTAAAACATACTCAGTACATAATATATGGGTAGCTTAACTGGTCTTAGAGGGAATTTGGAACAAGAGATCGAGGGTCGAGTCTCCATCCCTATTTTAATTACAAAATGGGAATTATGATGTAAAATCCCACTAATTTTTAGATAATGTTATTCACAAATTGGTACATCAATAAGAAATAAAAATTACATATTAAAAAAACTACATCCAAAATTCTACAATACAAGAGGTGACAAGAATATTTTATTTTATCAAATAATTAATGAAAACACAAAAATAAATAAAAGTTATCGAGAAAAGAGAGAAAATAAAATTTTAATCAAAATGGGGACGGAGAAAATAAATTTTTAATCAAAATGGGGACGGAGAAAATAAAATTTTAATCAAAAGAATGGGTTGCTCCTTTGGTTTAGCATTATCTCTCCAGTCCAGAAGCACGAGTGGGAGCCTCCAGGACAAGGTGGTTTTTAAGGGGGTGAGAATGATACGGATAGTTAATTATAATATTTTAATTAGTTATATTATTATTTAGTAGTTATTTATTATTATTTATTGATGGTTTAGGGTTTTAGTATGGTGATACGGATAGTTAGGCCCGAGCCCATTAGGTCAATTAGGATTATTTGCGTTTTTTTATATATTGTAATCCTTTGTTATTATTATTCAGTCAATCAATACAAGAATTACTCTTAATCTCGTTCTCTCTTTTCTTAGAGCTTGCAATCACTCGAAATTTTCGTTCTCTCTTTGCCTCCCCTTTCTCGGAGCCCGAAGACGCTCGAAGTTCTTTCATATCCCGATACGAACCATACAAGATTCGTATCACCAAATTTGAAACGTATGAGAATTAAAAAAAATACTATGTTCTAGAATTATTTTGTCTTACTCTATATTCTTTTGGTTTGGATAGATTCCAACCGTGTTCTTGTCCTTTTTTGGATTACTATTTTTTACAAGCATTTTATTCTTGTTATTTTTCCATTACTGTTTTTCAAACAAAATTGCATTTTGCAAGCATTTGTTTCAATTTCTGAATCCTTTTCCATAAATGTTTTTTATTCTTGCTTGCAAATTGAATGAATATATTCGAGTTTTTGTATAAATAAGACAATTTCTGAATCTTAAAAAATCTTACTCATAAAATACATTAAAATCTATCAAACTATGTGTATGTAGAATTAAAACAATCTACGGACTTCACATTATCTATGGATTCTAAACCATCTACAAAATTTTTTTATAATCTGAATTGAATATACTCCCTTAAAACTATATGATTGAATTCATGTTAACAAGATAATACAAGAATAAATGCGAAAAATACAAATATAACAAAATAACAAAAAATTGATATGAGAAGAAAATAGAGACACAAGAAAAAGTGAGACAAAATTAAGGTAACAAAAAGCATCAGAAAATTACTCACGATTGAAGCAGGTTTTGTCGAAATAACTCTCAGGTTCCCATATTTTTAATAAGACAACAGAGACCCTTACATTTTATTGTAATGACTGGGAAGCGAGTTTCTTTCCAATATTTCATCCATAGGCGTTAACAATGCGTTTTTGTATTTTTCCCTTAATATTTTGGTTTCTTTATTTTCTTTTTTTGTTACTCTTTTTTGGAAACATTTTTAAAGTTTCTTCTAGAAAATTTTATTAAAAATTTAAAATTGTTTGTACGATATAAAAATAAATGAAATAAAGAAATGTCTGAAATAGAGACGACCGAGTAAAATTAAAAACAATGAAAAATAAAGCATATTTTTCCCTAGAAAGTCCTCAAGATTCTTTTTTTAAATTAAAGCTTTGTAGTAATATTAAAAATAAAAAAGAGATCTAATTGTCTTTTTTGGTAAGGTCCTTTTTTCATTTGTTTTTTATATCATACAAAAATTTGAATTTTTAAAACTATTTTCTAGAAGAAACTGTAAAAAGACTTTTATGAAAAAAGAAACAAAGTGAAAAAAAGTAAAACAAAAAGGAAACAAATAAATTAAAAAGTGAGGGATCTAAAAGTTATTACCATAAAACATTAAGGGCAAAATAAGAAAAATAAGTTTATCAACGCGAATGGATAAAATATTAGATGAAATGTCTCCTCCTAGTTATTACTCCATCTGTCTCCAAATAAACTTCCCCTTTCGTTTTTTCTTTGTCCCCAAATAAACTTTTCTTTTCTTTTAAAAAACTATTTTTACCCCTTATTTTTTCATACTCTACCTATCACATCATACCTTTTTACTAATAATCTACATATCACATCTTACTTTTACACATCACATCTAGGGTATTTTTAGAAAGTCAACACAAAAATATCCTCACTTAAATCCTCAAAAAGTTAAAAAGGAAAATTTATTTAGGGACAGATGGAGACTGGAGTGCAATAAAATTTAAAGACTTGAATGGAGTAGTTTTTTTTGGACACGCATTGGGCACCCCATTTGAATTTGCTGACCTCTCATTGGAGTCATTCCTGACCTCTCATAGCATTCGGCACCTTATTTGAAATTTCTTTTACACGCGGAGTGTTTGAATTTGATGACTTCACATTGCTTACATCATTAGGCACCCCCAAATCTGGAGCCTTATTGACAATTTGCTATCCCTTCTTTAATTTTATACTTTTTCCCAAAATGAATTCCTTATTTTTCTATTACACTTTGAAAAAATAGTAATGTGATTGAGATTTATTAATTTGTAATATAAAATTTAATTTTTTAAATTTTAGAATAACATTTAAAATTTAGGAAAAATTCAAACAAGTAGTCCAAGAAATTTGTAATTTTTCTTTAATACTCTGAAATTAAATAATTTACACCGTTGTTCCTAGAAATTGTTTAATTTATACTTATACTTCGGACAGAGTAGAGATGCGTGTCCGAGTGCGGTTGGCACATTGAGGGCTTGGTTTCCTTTTAAGTCCCGCTCAGCCGAGTGAGGCATCTTTTGGCCGAGTGCGTCTGATTTCTGTGACTAGATGAGCCTTGTGTTGGGCCTTTATTGTTTTTCTTGGGTTTGATACCGCCAATCCAGAGTATCCATCAACATAAAATCTTAAATGCTACTCCTTCCGTCATATATCTTTCTTCCCATTGCGCAAAACGAAGAAAAGTCCCAAATTTTTTCAATCTATTTTATTTAAATATTGGTATAGAAATAAAAAATAAAACATACATATTTAAAAACTACATCAAAAGTTCAACAAAACAAGTGGTGACAAGAATATTTTATTTTATCATATAGGCCATGAAAAAACACAAATCAATATAAATTCCCGTGAAGTTGGAATAGTGCTCTGAGAAGAAATATATAGGACGGAGGGAGTAATAAGATTCCCTTCACCTCTACTTATTGAATTCCAATTTTCTTTTGCTATATTATGTTGCACTGTATTCATTTGGTTTGTAGTTGATATTATAATAATAATAACAACAACAACAACAACAACAACAATAATAATAATAATAATAATACTTCACTCGTCCTATAATATGGTATAGTATTTCAAATGAAACTATATATTGATATTACTTATATCACAATTCAATAATTTTTTTAGTAATTTGTGATCAGGATGTAAAAAATTGACCATAAAAGACAATAAAAAATAGGAAGAAGTAGAGTATAATTGTTAAAAAAAAGTCATTCTTGTTCCATTAAAAGAAATAAATGATTGATTTAATTCATTTTTTCTCTTTTATACCTCCTTCATCCCTAGATAATTTACATTTTACGCAAAACGAAATAAAACTCTACGTTTTTTTAATTCATTTTATTTAAAGATTGGTATATAAATAAAACTTACATATTTAAAAAATACATCAAAAGTTCTACAAAATAAGCGGCCACAAGAATATTTAATTTAATTAAAGAGTCAATAAAAACACACACATAAATAAAAGTTTTTCTGATTTTTGAATAGTGAAGTGTGTAAATCATTTGATGACAAAAAGAGTATAAACTTTCATCGTACTATTTTACTGCATTGATCCCACTTGTTTTTTGACACAAAAAGATTCGGGATGTTTAATACTCCATCCGTCCCTAAATAGATTACAATTTTTTTTCTCTCCTCTCGATAACTTTTGTTTGTTTACGCGATTTCATTAAGTATTTGATAAAATAAAATATTCTTGTCACCTCTTGTTTTGTAGAACTTTTGACGTAGTTGTTTAATATGTAATTTTTATATCTTATTGATATATCAATTTGTAAATAAAATGATTTCAAAATGTAGAAAATTTCACTCTGTAACCCGCAATTTGTAATCAAATTGGGGACGGAGGAAGTAAGAAAAGCAATGACATTTGATGTGACCAAAAAGTAATAGGAAAAAATGATACTCCCTACAAAATTGTGGGAGTTTAATTTTTTTAGTCAAATTGTGACACTCTTGAGTCTTGATTATGAATTATGGAAAAATTAAAGTATATTTAATTAGAATATAAATTTAATAAAATTATTGGATTTATTTTAAAATATAGTTTTTGAAATATCAAATATAATATTTACAATATTTAATCATTTTAAAATATATTTAATTCGTGATTAAAGAATGTAATAATTTGACCAAAAATATCAAATTGTGGTACTCCGTATTTTTTTAGGGTACTACACAATTTGTGTATAAAGTAAAAGAAACAAAGTAAGGTGATTTAAATAGGGAAATGAAATATTGATTTGTTGTGATAAGTGAATGAAAAAAAAAATAGAAGAATAAAATAAAAAGTGGGAAAGATGGGAATACTACTCCTTATTTAGGTTGGGAGGGGGCATATTATAAGTATATATATAGACGCAAATGAGCTGAAGATGTGAATGAGAGAGTGGGAGAGATTTAATTAATTACTCCAACTTAAGCATTAACAATGAAGAACAAAACGATGGAAGAAGGCGCGGCGGAGGGAGCGGTGGTAGTGCGGATAGGGAGGATGGGGTCAGGGCGGGTGGTTCCGGAGATTGATTATGACACGGCGGCGCAATTGCATCAAGGGGTCAGCGGAATATTCGGCGCACAGGGAGATCCAGCTCTCGGGATTGAGGACGAGACGCCGGCGGAACTGCAGGCGGTCGGAGGAATCATCGTCCGGGGAAACTCAGCTGTGGAGAGAAGCGAATCCTACAAGGAGTTGGCTCCCATAGATTCCCTCCTCCCCATTACTCAGTCCAGAAATGGCAACTTCTTCACTGTCACTTTCCATCTTCTCTCCTCCGGAATCGGCCTCCAGGCCCTCCTCCTCCCCGCTGCCTTCACCTCCCTTGGTTGGTATGTACTACTCCATCCTCCCTTTCTGAAAACAGTTTCTCTTGTTGTATATTTTAGTGTAATTGGAAAAACTATGACCAATGGTATCCTTTTTGGATTGAACAATCGAAATATTCAATCTGAAAGTGTTCTACAAAACCGTCTGCAGGGTTTGGGGAATCGTATGCTTGTCGCTTCTTTTCGCGTGGCAATTGTACACCACATGGCTGTTGGTGGGTCTTCACGAGGTAGCCACCACGGGTACGCGGTTCAGCAGGTACGTTCATCTGGCGATCGTGGCCTTTGGGGAGAAGACGGGGAAGCTGGCCGCCATTTTCCCCACAATGTATCTGTCCGGAGGGGCGTGCGCGTTGCTCATAATCAACGGTGGTGGGGCGCTCGAGTCGTTCTACAAAACCGTGTGCGGTTCCGACGTAAGATGTCACGACAAAGGACTCACGGGGGCGGAATGGTTTTTGGTGTTCGTTTGCGTTGCCACATTGGTCTCTTTATTCTTCCCCAACTTGAACTCCTTGGCCCCGGTTTCGGTCCTGGGCTCGGTCACGGGGGTCGCGTATTGTACCCTGCTTTGGGCACTGTCCCTTGGCAAGGGCAGGCCGGAAGGGGTGATTCATGACCCGCCGGAGGTTTCTGCCTCGAAGGTCGCCAGGTTTAGGGACATAGCAAATGCCCTTGCCATCATTTCTCTTGCCTTCCGAGGCCACAATTTGGTCCTAGAGATACAGGGGACACTGCCCGCAAACAGTGTTCCAGTACGACGTCGTATGTGGAGAGGAGTTGTTGCATCCTATCTTGTCATTGCGCTTTGTCATTTTCCCTTGGCCATTGCCGGATATTGGGCTTATGGCAATTTGGTAAGCTGTGGTCTATCGATATATAGAGCTTAAAATATAAGTATTACATGAAAAAAATGAATCAAATAATGGCTTTCATGTATTTAAATTCAAAATATAATCTATTAAAAATGACCAAACTAGTTGGACCAATTTGTTTGATTTTCTTTTTGTTGAAATTTCTCACATATTTGCTAAAATAAAATTGAATTTTTTGGTTCTCTTCCGAAATTCAAACCAAGCTTTCTGTATTTTCGCAAGTCAAAATAATTTGTTCTCAGTCTTTCCCTTTAATCTTAATCATTTCCTAATTGTCTTAATTTAACTTATCTTACGGAGTATTTATTTGACTTTAATTAAGAAAATATATGTCAAAGTTCTAAAATATTTGTAAAGAATATTCTGTCATTATTTTTTTGGGTTGCCCACCGGACCTTAATCCCGACTACATCTGGATCCGACCCGTGTTGTCACTGGCGGATCCAGAAAAAAATATGACTGGGGGCAAATACACACTAAAGAGTATGGTGGGGTTCAAGAGTGGCACTCCAGATTTTTTTAAAGCGTTTGATAATGATAAAGTAAATAAATTTAATTCCAAACAAGTATTCAAATTTAAAAAAAATATTTTTAATGTAGAAAAATAAAAAAAATATATCATTATATTACATAATATAATTATGATATTTCAAATACTTTACCTGTATATGTTTTTAAATGATTATTTTTTAATTTTAAACTAATATTTTCTTGTCAGTGGGGGCAAACTAATTTTTACCGGGGTCGTTCTTTTAATTCTCAACAAAAAAATTATTTTAATACTGTATATTACAGAGTAAAAATAAATTGACTGGGGGCGACTGCCCCCGTATTCATACATGTAGATCCGCCCCTGACTGTTGCACACCTACATGTGGTAATATATTGAGTCAGGTTTTTCTGTATATAATAAGACTCAAATTTGAGATTTTTCTTATGCTCAAAATTTAATAGACGGTGAGATTTTTTTGCAGAAAACTTTTTTTTCCAAAGCTAGCTAGCAAATTAACTTGAAAGGAATGAAATATTCCATCCGTTCCACAAAACCTTTCTCGTTTTGATTTTTAAAGGATTTAAGGAAAGTGTATTTTGGTGTTGACTTTCCAAAGAGACCCTTGGATGTGATGGTTAAAAGTAGGATGAGATGAATAAAGTAATAGTGAAAAAGTGTGATGTGATAGGTAGGTTAAGAATTAGGTTAACGTGATTTTTTTAGTAAAAATAAGAATAGTTTTTTGGGACGGATGAAAAGAGAAATAGTTTGTGAAAAGATGAAAAAATAGTACTCCGTATATGACATCGTTGAATCTTTAGTTAAACGGGTCATCACACTGCTGACCAATTCATATAAGTCCACCGATTGAATCACTCATTCCATTTCTTAATCATTTGATTCTAATAATGCACCTCAATTTAGGGGAAAATGGAACTATCTCAATTGCTTCTCATTTAATAACTTTATTTCCTTTTGACATGCAGATGCCAAGGACGTATAACAAAGGGGGGATCCTTGTTGCATTTGCACAGTTCCACCGAGACGACGTACCGAAATCCGGGATGGGAGCGATATACCTTATCATCATCATCGCCAGCCTTTGCAACTTCCAAATCTACGCAATGCCGACCTTGGACAATTGGGAAAGGATATACTTGAGCAAGAAAAAGGCGAACTGCCCGCGATGGTTGCGAACAGCCATCAAAATCTTGTTTGGTGGATTGACTTATTTCGTATCGATGGCCTTCCCTTTCTTAGGAAGTTTGGCAGGTTTCGTGGGCTCCATTGCGTTGCCTCTTACTTTGGCTTATCCATGTTTCATGTGGATCGCCATGAAAACACCACGACGGTTTAGCTTGTCGTGGTGCTTTAACATGGCCCTTGGATGTTTAGGGTTGGTGGTTTGTATGGTATTGGCTACGACAACCTTATGGGATTTGATAGCCAATGGCTTGCATGCTAACTTCTTTAAACCTTGATGTAAAATTCTACCCTAATATTATACATGAGGATGCTAATCTTACACTAACTTGTATAACTATTTCTTACAACCCGTCATATCTTCCGCCCGGGTTGTACGTCTTCATTCAAAAACGTCAGTAACATTGAAAGTTATTAATACATAGATCATCCTTGAAATGCTTCAGATACCGTTAATTTTGATTAATTACATGAATAATGAAACAATGTTTGAATTGATTGTTGTGAAATCTTATAAGGGTGATCTATGTATGTGTTAGAGGGTTTGAATCCTCTAAACACAATACTGTACTATGAATATATAAAAATTAAGATAAAGAAGCTAGATTTTAATCCTTTAATAGTAAAGAGCAAAAACAAAGAGTATATTCCATAAAAGGTTCTAGTTATAGGTCGTTTTACATATATTTAGTCCATACATATCAAATATTACTTATTTAATCCCCAATTATTATATTAATTTCCACGAATGGTCCTTTGTTAATATTTTCCGTTAAGAACGTGGATAAAATTGTAAATTCACACTCCTTTTATGGGATTTAATACATAGATCATCCTTGAAATGCTTCAGAACCAGATACCGCTAATTTTGATTTATTAAATGAGTAATGAAACAATGTTTGAATTGATTGTTGTGAAGTCTTATAAGGGTGATCTATGTGTTAGAGGGTTTGAATCCTCTAAACACAATACTGGACTATGAATATATAAAAATTAAGATAAAGAAGCTAGATTATAATCCTTAATAAAATAGTAAAGAGCAAAAACAAATTATAGTACTTTTCAATATTAAGAGTTCCATCCCCGACCGACCTCTCTCTATGCTTGAAAAAGTGTTCTTTGTTAGTTCCCATGTGCCATTGATGTTATAACCTTTGTTGGCATCATTTTTTGACAAACCACTTTTTGTAGTACATTTTAGCTAGTGAGTTAGCCATTTTGTAGAATGGAGCTGTAGCATCTTGTCAATAATCACCTAGCATCTTGTCAATAATCACCTAGCATTCTGTCAGTCATCACCTATCCATACTAAATTAGTAATCCACGTGTTGGTGGTGTCCCTGTGGAACACGAAATCTGGGTGTGTGGGTGTTCATCTACCGAGTGAAGTGCATAAAGAAACAACTACTCTTATGGGTGAAATGATCAATTACTTGAAGACTCCTTCTAGCAGATGAACTCGTTCATACCATTCTAGGTCAAGGACTCCTAGTTATGCTCCACTAGGGTTCTGGGAAACGCATCTATATAAAAAAACGGATTGCAAGCTTGAACTGAGTATGGGAGTATTTTAATTGGTTTAGTATATTTTACAATTTTATACCAAATAATTAAACATGCCCAGAAACTTAGGAATTGCTAAAAAATGGCCCAAAGCTACAGTATCCGGCCCAGATTTTTAGGCGAGACTTTTTTCCTACTGCTCTTGTCAATAGAAGGGTTTTTGTTATCGTTTGACTTTTCAAGGACTCTAATACAACATTTTAAGATTAATATTTGTTTTTAATTTGGATCACATGTTTTTTATGCGTTTGACTAAAGTTAATTTTAATTTGATTTATTTCAAAGATATTTTTGCACCAAAACTAGTGGTTTTCGAAATGTGCACCATTTGTTTCAAAACTTACGTCATTGTCCTTCATGGTTCTAGTATTCCTATGTCAATGCCCTCTAGACTAAAATACCATTCAAATCATAAATTAATAGTTCTGTTGTCCCCTAAGATTTTGGAAATGGACAACAATGCCCCTTTTTTCTTGATTGTTTTTCTTCTTTTCTTCACTTTTTTCATAAATGTCTTTAAGTTCTTTTTAAAAACTATTTTTATACTCTGTAATGTTTTAATAATCATAATTTTTTGTATTTGAACTAAAAAATCAATTAAATAAAATAATTGGCGTATACATCATTTGTCTCCAACTAATTATTTTCATGTTATTTAAAAGAGGTCCTTTATCCATTATTAATTTTTTCATTTTCATGATACAAAATCAATGAAACATTTTCTCTTTTATGCACAGAAGCTCATTTCACATTATTCATTTTTTGGTTTCTTTTTTTCCCTCCTTGATTTTTTTTTTAAAAATTAATTTGACAACGTTTATTTTATTTGATTTTATTCAAAATTATAATAAAATAAAATAGAAAATAAAAGAAAAAGAAAAAAAAGTTATTGAAAAAAATACTTTTATAGAATAGTGAAAATTAAGTCATGAAGAAAATTTGTTGTACATCTTTCCAAAATATTGTTATGAATATATAATTAACTAAATATTAAGAAGACCTTATTTTGTATTATTTTGGTCCCAACAGATTCAAAAAAATAGGAAGTTTTTTTTATTAAAACCTTAAAATATTTAACTTGAGACAAATGAAGTATATTTTAAATTTTTTATATCATTTTTTATTTTAAACAAAAATAATTTTCATTTTCTAAAACACTTTTTAAAAAAATAGTTTTGAAAGTCAACTTTTTATTATTTCAAACACAAACATTTTTCATTTCCTTATGAAAAAAGAATAAAGAAAAACAATCAACAACTGGCGTTGGTGCCCATTTCCAAAACCATAGGGGTAGCAGAGCTGTTTATTTAATATTTAAACGATATTTTAGCTTAGAGGGTATTTGTATAGGAATATTAGAACTACAAAAGGCAACAACATAAGTTTTGAAACCGTGAGGGGTAGTGGTACAGATTTACCAAACTACGGGGTATTAGTGCAATAAACTCTTACTTAAAAATTGGTATGGGTTTAAAAATTTAAAATTATAAATTTAAAAACTACATCAACTTTACTATCAATACAAAACAAGATGTGATAAAACTATACTACCTCCGTCTAGTTTGAATTTTTCGAGTCAAACTCAACTTTGGATCTCAATTAAATAAAAATGTAATATATTTTATTATAAAAATTATTTCAAGAGATTTATCTTGTTGAGAACTATTAAATATTAAAATTATTGCGTCAATATGCAACACAAATTAAGAGTAATTGATGATTAAAGTTCACCCAGTTTGACATGAAAATGTCAAACTAGACGAATAAACTGGGACGAAAGGTATATTATTTTCTCAAATGGGTAGTGAAAATGGATATAAAAAATTATTAAATTTTACCTTGCGAATAGTAAACAAGAAACTTAACTTGACACGGAAAGAATATAAACATAGATAATAGAAATATAATATTTCAAAACTACGTATGTTTCAAAATAAATATATTGATATTAAAATTATGTGAAATTTGCACTAAATAGCACTAAAATATGTTCCTTTTCCTAATTTAGTGGCGGTGGACATTTAATTGAACAATTTCTAGTGGACATTGAACACTGGTACTTTATTAAAAAATTAAAATATAAAGTACTACATTGAGAAACTCATTATGTTTTAAAACTTCCTCGTCATAAAATGATGGCCACATTTGCTTTTTCAACGGTAACAAGAACTTTTGTTTATTTGTATGTTTTCATTGGTTATTTGATAAAGTAAAATATTCTTGACACCTCTTTTTTCAAATAACTTTTCAAGTAGTTTTTAGACTATATAAATTTTATTTTTATTCCTATACCAATATTTAAATAAAATAAATTGAAAAAATTTAATATTTTGCCTCGTTTTTTTGAAATGTGGTAAACATTTAAGTAGGGAGGAGTACTATATAGGTAAACTTCCCTAAATTTATATCGTAATTCCATGTATTTTTTTCTTAATTTGTGGTCAAAACTTAAAAAAGTTCATGTTTTTGTTGTATCAAAAAAAATAAAGGATTCACAAGCTTTCTCTATCAACGGAAACAATTTATAGTACTCATCATATACCTTGTGCATACATTTTTTCCCGGTGAAGACTTAGTCATATGTTAACGTTTCATATTGAATTTCCTCAAGATGATCGAAGCCCTTAGGCTCTGAAAAACCACACATTTTCCTGCAATCCCGCAATGCAAATTTACACAATTACTATCCGTCTTCCTTTACACATTATTGATGACCGAATAGAAGAAAAGAATACGTTGATCATTATCTATTATTGCTCAAATAATTAAATAGTTTAAATCATAACTTAAATTTTCGCCTAGCTAGTTTTGATACGTGATTCCTTTTGTCATTAAAAATATGTTTCCTAATCACCATCTAGCATGCATAAGATAGGGAGGAGCAAATTATTATTAAGATGATGACGAATTCATCAAGAACCAAAATGGCATTGGGTAGCAGCAGCAGCAGCAATTACAGGAGAAACACGATCGGGAGCATACTCCAATCGGATCCGAACAACGACGACGACGTTTCCTTCCGATTTAGCACCGCGTCAGACTCTCTTGCCTGCGCTCACGATCACAGGCCGCCGAGTACCCTCAACAACCAGGCGGCGGCCTCCCATTCCTGTTCATGGGAGGCCACCTGGGAGGATTCTACGTCCATCACGACAGGCGGGGGTTCATTTGGGCACTGCCCATCGTCACCCCTGTCTAGGTCACCCTGGCATGCCCAATGCTCCCCCGCCTCCGTGGCCGCAGCATCATCAGCTGCGGCAGGCGACTTCTATGCCTACACCGGCCTAATGGGGTCCCTTGTCCGCGAAGAGGGTCACATATATTCGCTTGCGGCCTCGGGAGACTTGTTGTACACCGGGTCGGACAGCAAGAACATCAGGGTTTGGAAAAACCAGAACGAGTTCACAGGGTTCAAATCCAATAGTGGATTGGTGAAGGCCATTATAATCGCGGGGGAGAGGATCTTCACGGGCCACCAAGACGGGAAGATCCGCGTGTGGAAAGTGTCGAAACAGAATCCCGTCATTCACAAGCGCATCGGAACCCTACCGACCTTCAAAGCGTGTATCAAGAAGTCGATGAAGCCGAAAAACTACGTGGAGGTGAGGAAGAACCACAACGGCGTCTGGATCAAACATTTCGACGCGATCTCGTCTCTCACGTTGAGCGAGGACGCGTCCCTCTTGTACTCCTCCTCTTGGGACAAGACCATCAAGGTGTGGAGAATAGAGGACTCCAAATGCCTGGAGTCCATAAACGCCCACGACGACGCAGTTAACTCCGTCGTCGTGGGGTGTAACGGCCTGGTCTTTTCAGGGTCCGCAGACGGAACCGTGAAAGTGTGGCGGAGGGAGTTCAAAGGAAAGCGGACGAAACACCACATGACACAAATGTTGTTGAAACAAGAATGTGCCGTTACGTCGCTAGTCA